TAGTAAACTCGGCTGCTATACCTGGACGGCCTAAACAGCAAACATTGTCTTCTCACATTCTGGGGGCTGGAGGTCCATGTTCAGATTCTTTTTTTTATATGATTCTTTTTTTAAATATATTTTTATTGATTTCAGAGAGGAAGGAAAAGGAAGAAACATCAATGAGAGAGAATCATTGATCGGCTGCCTCCTGCATGCCCCCTACTGGGGATCGAGCCTGCAACCCAGGCATGTGCCCTTGACTGAAATCAAACCTGGGACCCTTCGGTCCGCAGGCCTATCCACTGAGCCAAACCGGCCAGGGCCATGGTCAGATTCTTGCTGAAGGCATTCTTCCTGGTTATGTCCTTACATGGCCTTCCTTAGTGCAGTCTAGTCCTCTTCTTATCAGGACATTAACCCCATCACGAGGGCCCCACCCTCAAGACCTCATCTAGCCCTAGTCACCTCCCAAAGGCCCCCGCTCCGAACACCATCACACTGGGGGTTATGGTTTCAACATATGAATTTTAGGGACAACTCAGTCCATAGCAACTACCATAAGAAAACGGACATGCTACAGACCACCCCTTCCCTGCATCTAAATTATATACTAGTACAGCCCAGGGGTCGGATGGAGGGGCACAAAGTCCACACAGTTCTCAGGTGACAGGAAGGAAAGCCAGGCTACGAGGGACAAACACAGGCACAGCCCACTGACACTGCCAATGAGTGACTGTTTCCTACAATCCGCTCAGCCCTCAAGTCCAGGGTGGGAATTCATGGTTGAGGAACTTTCCTACCTAGAAAGCTGACGTGAGGAGGAAGGGATGGAAGAAAAGACTGTGTTTATCACAGCATTTGTTCTTTATTAAGACAGATGACGTGCTCATTAGGAACATTTAAATACTAGGTTATACAGTTGAAAGCGGAAGTCTTCCCTTCGTTTCACCCCCTCTCCCCCACTCCCTGTCCTCTCCCCAGAGGTAATCACTGTTAACAACGTGGAATGTTTGCATTTTTTAACACAAATATGGCCACACAAAACTACATTGTTCTGTGACTTATTTTTTCCATGTAATGCTACCCCATGGTTACCATTTCCACATCAGCAGATATACTAGTACTAGCTCAACCTCACTTTTTTTTTTTAATTGATTTTAGAGGAAGGCAGAGAGAAACATCAATTAGTTGCCTCCCACACATGCCCCAACAGGGGACTGAACCCCCAACCTGGGTATGTGCCCTGACTGGGAATCAAACCCACCTTTTGGTGTACAGGTGACACTCCAAGCCACAGCAGACCAGGGCTCCACCTCACTCCTGTGAAGGACCATGTAACATCCCACAGTATAGATCTACCAACTGTTTTTTTAAATTTTATTTTTCAATTACAGTTTACCAACATTTATTTAACCTTGTTGCCTACTAATGGAAATTTAGCTTACTTCCAGTTTTTGCTGGTGCTATGGTTTTGTCGGTTTTGCTATTAGAAACGTTCAGTGAACATCCTCATACATATGCTTGGGTATTCCTATTAGATTACTATTTTGGAATTACTGTCAAAGAGGGTAATCACCAGTATAGCCACCACCTGAATCTAAAGCCCACTTCCATTTTCAACAAAAACACAGGTTTTTTGTTGTTGTTTTTAAAATATATTTTATTGATTTTTTTTTATTTTTTTACAGAGAGGAAGGGAGAGGGAGAGGGATAGAGAGTGAGAAACATCCATCAGCTGCCTCCTGCACACTCCCTACTGGGGATGTGCCCGCAACCAAGGTACATGCCCTTGACCAGAATCAAACCTGGGACCATTCAATCCGCAGGCTGGTGCTCTATCCACTGAGCCAAACCGGTTAGGGCTGCTGCACAGTTTTGGAGAAGGGTAAACCCCATACAATAATTTTCAGAACTTGGGGTGCCTTGGAATTACCTGGGAAGCATAAAAATGCAGGTATCCAGCTTCTACCAGAACCTACAAGGGTTAAGAGCCAAGAACTGGCTCTTAACAGACACTTCTGGCCATTATCCAACTGAGCACAGTCTTAGTTGATGGTGATTTGGGGTTTTCTTGGACAGCTCCTAGGTGCTGCCCTACAGGTGTAGTAGAAGTCCTAACCTAATTCCCACTGTCACGTGATCTGTGGTTTTAGGTCAGGAATAAAGGCAAGGGTAATGCTTTTGCTCTGTGTGCCCTCTGCTGGTACTGTGTGAGCGGACCAGGCACCGAAGTGGAAGTTCTTTCACGCCCAGGCTGGTGAGAATCCAGGCTCTCACCTCCCAGTGTGGTGGGACCCCAGGCAGCGACTGTCAACCCACGCTGCATGAGAACCAACTGGGGGACCTGGTCATGGGCCTGGGTAACATATCTTTAAAAATCTCTCCAGGTGATCCTGCACAGGGAGCCAGGGTTTGAGAACCTATTTTTCAGGCAAAAAATTGGCCCAGGAACACGAAGTCCACAGAGGCATCTGAGGTGAGAGCCCTAGCCCTCGGGGTAGGGAAGAGTCTTGGCAGGTGTGCTGTGCTTGCTTGGATGACACTCCCGCCCCAGGTGTGCAGTTACCATCCGGCAGGACAAAATGACCCACATCTAGGCTTCACCCCAGTCCCATCTGCTGCTGGGACCACCATGCCATCACCTTTGAACTAACAATGTTTGCTCTTGCCTGTTGAGTTTGCAACGCAGCTGACATTTATTGTTTATTCTCACACCCACCCAATGAGACAGGCAGGATTTTCCATGTTACAAATGTGAAAAACAAGGCCCAGAGAGACTCCGTTACCTGGCCCAGGACAGGGAGTTAAGTCTTCTGACCCCAAATCCAGTGTTACCCCTCCACACCATCTCCCCAATTCACAGAGTGAACTGGGCAGAGCTTCTTCCAAGAACTGGCTCTGAACAGACACTTCTGGCCATTATCCAACTGAATGCCATGCACAAGTGTGGTAAGAATTTGCACTAAGGCCTCTTTCCTAAGCTGTTATTAGCATCCGCCTCATGAATTTCTTCATCCCAACAGTCAAGTTTCCCAGGGGGCCTGGCAAAGTCTCCAGCTGTCAGGTCCCCTTCTTTAGCCTCACCCACATGCTCAGCCTTCGGTCGGAGATCCAGGTGGCCCAGGGCAACCCAGAAGCCCAGCCCCCAATCGTTCACTTGAGCGTGTCCAGCATCCCAAACACCTGTGTGAAACGCTCTCTGTCCAGGATGCGTCCATAGCGCAGGGTGAGGTAGAAGGTCTGCTTCCCACTGTACTGCTGGATCCTCACGAAAATCTCCTGGGGCCGGTCCTGGGTTTCTGTCATAGGTATCACTTCGGCCACCGGGCAGTAGGAGTCCTGCCGCCAGCCCCAGAAGGTCAGGTGGGCCACCCGCAGCACGGTGCCTGACTCGTTCACGTACAGGATGCCCACCAGCCTCCGGAAGAAATAGCTCATCCAGTACAGCATGGCCAGGGCGAAGCCAGCGATCCCACCCATGAGACACAGGTTGTCGAAAGTCAGGAGGCCCTGGGAGTACCAGTAAAAGCCAGGCGGCAGGGCCAGCACCGTCAGGGCTGTCTGTGCCACCTTCAGCTTAGACACGTACCCAAAGGCTCTGATGGCATCGAACCGGTAGATCATCTGGAATTTCTCTGTCTCTGTGCCTGGTGGTTTCTCCTTCGAGGTGGGTGACCTGCTCCCCATCCACCTCCTAAAATCCTGCCCATCGCAGCACTGCAGTCCGTAGAGAGGCCTTCTCCACACAGCCGGCCCTGGCAACCGCAGCACAGCTCGGAGGAGGGCAGCCTGGAAGGGAGACAAGAGACCATTTCTCTCAAAGAACTCAGCCACATGCTCGTCACACAGTGAACACCAGCAAAGCATTTACATGGAGGCTCCCGACAATCTTATGAGGTTGCCATTATCACCATGGAGGGGAAGGGAACGCCAGGTGCTTTACCTCGTGTGATCTCACAAAAGCTGTCTGAAATAGGAACCTCTTTACCACTAAGGAAACTAAAACCAGAGAAGGTAAGAAATTCACCCAAAGACACACAGCCAGTGAGCAGGGCAGCGTCTGACTCTCACACGGGTCCTCTTTCCTCCAGGCAGGTCAAGTTACAGGAAGGAGGCGCAGTCTTCATTCAGTTAACAAGGACCCAGAGAGAGCCAGCTGTGGGCTGGGCACTGGATCCCTAAGGCTGGCTGGACATCTCCCCAAGCAGGAAACTAAACAATCACTCACCCAGTGGAGAACAAATCCGTTAGATATTTAGCACAATAACTTTCAGAGTCTCTATCAGATTAAGCATCATCTGGGTGCTAAAGGGGGCGTGTTTTCTTCGCCGAGTTAGGGGGCGGGGGGCGAGTGGAGGAGGAGAAGGGATGAAGGCGCCGAGCAGAAGCACAGGGATCCTATCAGGCGCACCGTTCCACCCCTTGGGCAGTGCATTGAAAGATGCGTTCGGTTCTGCAACCAGATCTGGGTTCCAATCCTGACTCCTAAAGCCGCCAGCTGTGGAACTGGGGCAAGTTGCTCCACCTCTCTGAGCCTCAGTTTCCTCACCTTCCAAATGGGGATTCAGAATATACTGACTGAGACGTGGTTCTAAAGCCCTCCAGAGCACTGGCTGGACTTGATGCAGGGCGAGTGCTCAGTGAGTTTTAGTGTCGCTGGTGACGCACGTGACCTGGGCGCAGAGGAAGCCGGGGAATAACAAAGCGTAACCCACGCTGTGTAACCCACGCTAAGGTCTCTCCCGCGCACGCTGCGAATCACAGGCCTGACCCGGACCCCAAAAGCACATCGCCTCCCTCAGTCCCCCACCTTCCGCATCCTTACCATGGCCCGTCGGAGCCTCCAAATCGCACCTGCAGCCGGATCCCAAAAGGCGCATGCTCGGCCGGAAGGGGCCTGTGTGCGGAACATTGCATTCTGGGATCTGTAGTCCGGATGGAACCGCAGACGCCAGCCCCGGGCGTGCTGGGAGTGGATTCTCCTCCTCCCGGCGTGCCCTGCAGCACGGAGGCTGGGCCCGGAAGCCCGGGGCCGAGCTCCAGGAGCTGACGCTCCACGTCAGCTGCGGTCTAGGATCCGGAGACATGGCTGCGCCGGGCCTCGCGCTCTGCCTCTTCGACGTGGACGGGACCCTGACGGCCCCACGGCAGGTAGGCGGCGCCCTGCGGACTGGAGGCGGCGGGTGCAGGGTCTCCCGCGGTCCCCGGACGGGGCCAGCGACCACCCAGGGTGGGCACCGAGGGGCGGCGGAGGACCGCCCACCTGCTGCAGGGATGAGACGGAAGCCTCAGGGCGCTTGGAGAGGGGACGAGAGGGAGAAACTTGTCTCCGGGTGGGAAATGCAGCGCTGGACGCGCCGTAAGCCCTCGGTTTGGACCAGCGCGCTGCCCCCCGACAGCGATGTGCCTCCTCGTTCTGTCACCTGTGGGACGTGCCCCGCACCCTGATATGGAAAACAGGTTCCTCGGCCAAACCGGCCGAGCAGAGTCTCCGCTTCTCCTGACACCTGTGCCTTTAACCTCGGAGCCTCAGCATCTGTGTTTAATAGGGACTTACCTGTGCCATAGGGGGTTTGTGAGGGTCGAATGAAATCAAATAAGTTCATGAAAGTACCTTTGCTTACAGTAAGCTCTGTTGAGTAATAGTCCTTAAGTGTTAGCACCATCACCCCCTTCTCCAGCCCCTGCAGTGGGTCTTGGATGATCAAAGAGCCCTAGATGGGCCCAGCTGGTGTGGCTCAGTGGTTGCGCATCGGCCTATGAACCAGGAGGTCACAGTTGGATTTCCCGTCAGGGCACACGCCTGGATTTCAGGCTCTATCCCGGGTTGTGGGTGGGTGGGTGGGGTTGTGAAGGAGGCAGCCGATCAATGATTCTCTTTCATCCTTGATGTTTTGCTCTCTCCCTTTCCCTTCCTCTCTGAAATCAATAAAAATATTTTTTAAAAAAGAGGGAGAGACCTAGATTGTTACAGGCTGCCTGTTGCGAACCTCCCTGGACTGTGGAAACTTGCCTCCCGCTTGCAGATTTTGCTACTATGGGCACAGACAGGATCCACGTTTGTGATGCAGCTCCCTCTGACCTCCTCCTCCTGCAAACCGATCACCCAGCACCAGCCGATCCACTTGAGGCCCAGATGGCTTCCCTGTCTCCAAGTTCTGTCGCTGATTTTGGCCAGGTGGTAGCAGTGGTGGCTTCAGAATTCCACATCAAGTGTGTGTGGCCTCACACATGTCGTTGTACCTTTCCGAGCCCCATGCTCCCTGTGCCTAGTGAAGACACCCAGCTGCAGGTTCTCCAGAGGCCCCTTTGGACTCTGAGATCAGAGATTGGCCCGCACTTGTGGGTTGTTAAAAGCCCCTAGTGGTCTAGAGCCGAGGCTAGCCACTCATTGTTTGTCAAGAGTCTGAGAGCAAATACTCTTGTCTTCGCTGACCATATGGTTTGTAGTAACTGCCCAACTTTAATGCAGAAGCAGCCTAGACCATATGTAGACACAGCGTGGCTGGTGTTCCAGTAAAACTTTATTACAAAATCACACAGCTGCTCAGTGGGGTCCATTGGCTGTAATTGTCTGCAGTGGTCGGCAAACTGCGGCTCGGCAAACCGCGGATCGCGAGCCACATGCGGCTCTTTGGACCCTTGAGTGTGGCTCTTCCACAAAATATCGACTTCTGCACATGGGCCACGAAGTTTCAATTGCACTGTACATGCAGCCCGCACGTGATATTTTGTGGAAGAGCCACGCTCAAGGGGCCAAAGAGCCACACGTGGCTCGAGAGCCTCGGTTTGCCGATCACGGGTCTAGGATTTACATCCTAAGCCTTTTTACACACTATATTTGCATGCTCTCAACCTTTATCCTAAATAGAATAGTTGTTACTATCCTTTGTTTAATGTTTTTGTTGACTTTTTTTTTTGAGAGAAAGAGAGAGAGAGAGGAAGGGACGAGGGGAGAGAGAGAGGAAGGGACGAGGGGAGAGAGAGAAACATCAATCAGCTGCCTTCTGCATAAACCCCCGACATTGGATCAAGCCCACAACCTGGGCATGTGCCCCGACTGGGAATCGAACAGCATCCTTTCAGTACACGAGACAACACTCAGCCAATGGAGCCACACTGGCCAGGGCTACTGTCCTTTTAAATATAAGGAAACCGAGACTCAAGATCATCTTGATGGTGAAAACGGTGAAGTGATTATAGTTACAGGATAGTCACAGAAATGTAAAGTACAGCTTCAGGAATAATAGTTAATAATATTGTAATAACTATGACTGGTACCACATGATTGAATGAAACTTGTTGGAGGAATCACCTCATAAATTATATAAATGACTAAGCACTGTGCTGGGCACCTGAAACTAATATATATACAATATTGAATGTGAATTGTAATTGAAAAATAAAAATTTTAATACAAAAAAAAGAGATTGTCTTGATTTCACACAGCAGATCTGGTACCAGTCTCTGAGCTTCAGAGCATTGTATTTGCTAAGTTTACCATTTTCCGCCATTTTTCTAAGGTAGAACCGACGTGCCATTCAGGAAAGTGCTTTTGATTATCTCAGAAGGAATCAGGTTATATAAGCATAAAGTATGAAATGGCAACCAGGCAACCCACATTGGAAGCATGATATTCTTTGCAGTGACCATAAATCAGTTTAATACTCAAAAAAATTGTAATTTAAAAAATAATTGTTTCTATGTGCTGGGTACTCTAGGTAAAAAATAAAATTTTAGTAACAGATCTATTCATTATCCAACTTTTTCCTTCCTCAATAAATGCATTCACACGTTGATAAGCACAAGGAAGTAGAAGAATGGGTTATCTTTTCTTGGAGCTGCTGAAACAGGATATGATTTAAACAGGTAAACTCTAGTTAGAATGGAGTCCAGAGCTTTGCACATTTCACTGTTTTAGTAGAATTTTGTTGTTCTGAGTACTTTCCTAAGAAATGCCATTTCATCTAAAAACAGTTGAGATTTGCCCGGCCAGGGTTGAGCATCAACCTATGAACAGGAAGTCAAGGTTTGATTCCTGGTCAGGGCATATGCCTGGATTACAGGCTGGATTCCCATTATAGGGCGTGCAGGAGGCAACTGATCAATGATTCTTTCATCATTGATGTTTTTATCTCCCTCTCCCTTCCTCTCTGAAATCAATAAAAATATGTTTAATTAAAAAATAAAAACAGTTGAGACTTAGAACAAAAGCCTGCAAAAGAAGGGGGGCTTAAATTTGGGTGAACTGTTTTCCAACTTTCTGTCATGAGAAATTTAAAATATACTGAACCACTGGAAAAGTAGTACATAGAACAGCCAAATCCCCACCACTTAATTTCAACAGTAATTGACATTACCTTCATTTTCTTTTATTTTTTAATTTTTGCTGCACCATTTCCTAGGCTGCAGTAATCATAGTACTTCACCCCTAAAATTTGAGCTTGCATCTCTAGAGGACAGAACATCTATCGTAACCACAGTATCATCATCACACCTAAGAAAACTCACCAATTCCCTAGTAGTGCTTAGTCCAGGGCTGGGGAACCTTTTGTCTGCTAAGGGCCATTTGGATATTTATAACATCATTTGCAGACCATACAAAATTATCAACTTAAAAATTAGCCTGCTATATTTGATCAAACATTTGATTAACTCACCCCTAATGCCTTGGCAGGGCCAGACCAAATGATTTCAAGGGCCTTATATGGTTCGAGGGCCAGACGTTCCCCACCCCTGCCCTGTAAAAGGCCAGGTAGTAAATAGTTGCGGCTTCATACATACATACATAATACATACATACATAAATAAATAGTTGAGGCTTTGTGCAGGCCAGGTGGTCTCTGTCACAACTACTCAACTCTTGTTGTTGCCACAGACACTACATAAATGGGTGGACGCTGACATAGCTGTTCCAGTCAGACCTTCCAGAAAAACAGGCAATGGCTCATTGTGGCCCATGGTTCCCATTTTGTCAACACTTCTGTTCCATTCACTTTTCCTTAATTGTCCCAAAAGAGTCTTTTTTCCCCAGAAGGTGTGTTTTTAACATTTTTCCACCTTAATTTCAAGCTTTTGGATCTTGTTCTATGTTTTATTTTGTCTAGGGTGATGGATAAAGAGTTCCTCGTAATTAGCAACACAGCATTATTTGGTAACATCACAATAATTTTGCTCTAAAGATCTGTCCTGCCCTACATGGTTTGGCTCAGTGGATAGAGTGTTGGCCTGAGGACTGAAGGGTCCTGGGTTCAATTCCGGTAAGGGGCACATGCCTGGTTGCGGGCTTGATCCCCAGTAGTGTGCAGGAGGCAGCCAATCAATGACCCTCTCTCATCATTGATATTTCTATCCTCTCTTCCTCTCTGAAATCAATAAAAATATATTTAAATACACACACACACACTCACTCTAGAGGCCTGGTGCACAACATTCATGCACTGGGCCCGGCCTGCACCCTCTCACAGTTCAGGACCCCTCAAGGGATGGCCAACTGCCAGCTTAGGCCCACTCCTCACAGGAAGCGGGCCTAAGCTGGCAGTCGGACATCCCCCGAGGGGCTCTTAGTGCTGCTGCAGAGGCGGGAGAGGCTCCCACCACCACCACTGCACTCACCAGCCGTGAGCCCTGCTTCTGGCTGAGTGGTGCTCCCCCTGTGGGAGCGCACTGACCACCAGGGTGCAGCTCCTGCATTGAGTGTCTGCCCCCTGGTGATCAGTGTGCATCATAGCAACTGGTCGTTCCGCCATTCAGTCAGTTTGCACATTAGCCTTTTATTATATAAGACTAGAGGCCCAGTGCATGAAAATGAGTGGAGGGGGTCCCTCAGCCCAGCCTGCCCCCTCTCACAGTCCAGGAGCCCTTAGGGGTGGGAGGCGACCCAGCGATCAGGGGAAGGCGACGGCCCTGGGTGGCTGGGCAGCCAACATCCGAGGCTTGCCTGTGCCTTGGGCCGGCCCCGGGTGGCTGGGGGGCTGAGGGGACTGGGGGACTCCAGAGGCAGGCGCATGGAGTGGCCGGGTCCGCCTGGGGGTGGGTGGGACCTTGCCACACCTGCTGCTCCAGCAGGGCTGAGGGGACTGGGTGCCGCCATATTTGAGGGCGTGCATATCCCTCCTTATTGGCTGTGGGCACTGCCATCTTTGAGGGCAGGGCAGTCAATTAGCATATTCCCACCTTATTGGCTGTAGGTGCCGCCATTTTTTAGGGTGGGGCAGTCAATTAGCATATTTCCTTTTTATTGGCTGTGGGCGCCACCATCTTTGCAATGGCGCGAGGGTCAATTAGCATATTTCCTCTTTATTAGATAAGAGATATATATACACACACAGTTTTTTAAAGATCTGTCCTGCAGCAGGATGTGGTTTAGATGCTCTGTTGTGGTCATAAGCAGCTTTATCTTATTTCCTGGTAAAAAATATTGGGTGCCACTTGGAAGTGAAAAGGCACCTTTTACAGCCCATTCACATTGCAGAACAGGTCTGATGGCTGACCACAATACCATTTAGCTCATCAATGTGTACAAGGCTTCTGTTTGAAGATGGAAGTATTGATGCTGCTGTTATTATTAATATTGCATGTTTAATATTTTGCAATCAAAGTCTTCCCCACTTCCTCCCATTCTGACGTCAAAACTGAGCAATCCACTTGAGGGCCTCAGGGACTCCTTTCATGGTCATTGACTCATTGATGCTGCTATTGCAGTTCTAGATTTTTGTCTGCTAGGTCAAGATTCCACTGGAAGATGGAAAAAAGATTGCAATTCATTTAAGCCCTTCTGAACAATTCTGTTTGATTAATCATATGTATGTACTATAAAAAAATTGTTTTAAGAAAAAGAGGATTTAGCTCTAAATGTTTATATACTGAAGTTGACGTAAGTGGTTTGTTTTTAATTTCTGATAACTATGTTTGAAAGATATTCCATGTAAGTGTTACCGGACGGGACTGGGTCTGGAGTGGGTCTGCCTGGGGTGGCCAGTAGTGTGTGGTTTCTTGACTTCATGCAGGAAAGATTTAGCAAACACATCCAAGTGATTTTGAGAGTATGTTTATTAAAGCTGGGACAGTGAAACAGGAAGGGCTTAGGATAGAAGAGGCAACAGAAGAGAGGGCTGCTTTGGCTTTTAGAAATGTTCTAGGAAAGAAGTGGGCCATGCTGGGCTGCAGGAACTCACTAAGAAGTAAAAGTCACAGCAACAGAAGGGAGTCAAGGTGGGGCTGCTGCTAGCTCACTGGGAAGTCAGAGAAAATGGGGCCTTGGACACAGGTTCAGGGGGTAAGCCTGGATGAGCCGCTGCTGCCCACTGCTCCCCTAGTTGCAGTCTTGTGGGCACCCTTAGAGTTTAGAAGAAAGAGATACATGCCTAAGGGAGAAAGGCGTGGGCATGCAGTAGAGAGTGCACCGTGGGTCCCTTGTCTTGAGACTTTTTATCTTTCTTTTGCTAGAATCTTTAGGGGAGGGTCTTAACAGAATATTCGTTAGTTTCCCAGGTGTGTCCTTCAATATATTGATTCATCAAAATGTGGTATAAAGGGGTCAAGGTTATTCCAGGTTATTTTCATTTTTTAAAAATGTCATAGAAGAGGGACCAGGACTGAGGCCAGTCTGCCCCCCAGGACAGTCTGGAATGTGTAAACCATTTGTTCTTAAGTATCCTTGGTTAGAGAAGATAAAACCCTGTGATTCATTGCTCAAATCAGTTGGCCTTGTTTAATTATTTTGTCTCAGTTCCCCTTATTCCACCTGGCAAGGAATTTCCCTAGCTTCTTACTATCCTGCCTCATACATGTACCATTAAGATTACTAAAAGTAATGATATAAGACTTTTAAAAAAATGTGTTTTTATTGATTTCAGAGAGGGAGAGAGAGAGAAACAGCAGGGATGAGAGAGAATCATTAATAGGCTGCCTCCTGCACACCCCTTGCTGGAGATTGAGCCTGCACTCCGTGCACTTACCCTAACCGAATATTGAACTGTGATTTCCTGGTTCATAGGTCGACACTCAACCACTTAGCCACACTGGCCAGGTGATATCAGACTTTTAAAAATTCATTATGATTTGTGTTAATACAGGGATATCTTTTCATCGTAGTTTATAATTTCTCTTGAACTAGCACAGTTTGGGATTTAACAAGTATAAACTATTACCATTGAAACCACTGTTTATAGATAGGAGCATTTCTTATAGGAAAGACTAAAAAAATCTAGTTATCTTTTAGGGGTGTTTTGTTTTTTGTTTTTTTTGTATAATTATAATAAACCAAATCCAAACTTCCTCTATAATCTGATTGTTATTTTGTTTTAAAGTCAACAACTTAAATCCATAAATATAGCATTTGAAAGGAAGTACTGGATCTGCGTGTGGCATGGAATGAGCACCACATGAAAACACATGTCACTGCAAAAGCCTTAGATTGAGTCCCCTTGTGTTTCAAAAAATGAGACCTACTTATATATGTATATGCATGTAGCCAAGTATATAAGTGCATAGAAAGTAACTGAACAGTACACACAGCTGTTAATATATTGTGTGTTTTAAATGAGGTAAAAATGAGTAAAATTTAACAAGTTTTTTCTGGTAAAAAGTTGATGTCTCCACAAATTATAGATGAAATATTTGGACTTGTCTGCGGACCTAGAAATGAGATTGGCATGTATGCAAGTAAAGGTTCTATAATTCTTTCAGTTTTAGTCTCCTGATTACTTTATGGCTCATAAATTGTATTTTCCTTTGTGAAATGCAGAAAATTACCAAAGAAATGGATGACTTTCTACAAAAATTGAGGCAGAAGGTCAAAATCGGAGTGGTAGGCGGCTCAGACTTTGAGAAAGTGCAGGAGCAGCTGGGAAGTGATGGTGAGTTATACACTGCTAATTACATTTTTGATAAAAGAGTAACTTCTTATGACAATATTGAAACCCGTAGCCATGGAGTATCATAACTAACCCTCAACCCTCATCCCTGATTCCTTGTTGGGGGAACATGCTCTCTGTCTTTGTTTTCCCGTTTTTCATCCTGTAAATAAATTTCTGGAGTTGCTGATGGAGCACTTGGTATGCAAATTCATGGGTAGATTCATCTGAGTCTTTGCCTGTCATACTTCTTGTCCCATCCACTGCCCTGTAGCCTCAGCTCAGGCCCTGTCTCCTGACTGTCCTCACCCAGCTGTGAGGTGCCCTCTGGGTCTAGGGGCTTCCTCTCTGTTGCCCTAACTCAGGGTTCCCCAGAGTTCCCTTAGTCATGAGTCAGCCAGACTCCTCCCCCACCTACTGAACCACAATCCCCAGCACAGGACCCCAGGAAGCTGGCGATTCTTATGGGCTTTCACTTCCAGCGACTCAGTAGGTCTGCAGTCTGGGGAGAAGTATTTTAGCAGCTACGCAAGAGCTTCTAATGCCCAGCCTGCTGCTGTAGCACTCCCTGATTATTGGAAACTGTCTGGTTATAAATTTGTCTTGAAGACTAGGGCTGTGGATTATTCATCTCGTAGCCCCAAGGCCTCCCGGTGCCTGGCCTATAAGAAAGAGTGGGTGGAAAGGTAGATGAATTGATCATTCTTTTCATCACTGTTGACGTTTTTATAACCAAGCAGAGTTCCATCCACTCAGCGCTGCAGGTATAGCCAATTGCTCTGACACGGGTGCAGGGAAAGAAATTGGTGTTTATTGTATAGCACTACACAGGGGGACCAGGCAGCTTGTGCTAGAAAACCTGAATTCCCGATGGTTTACCGACAAGAGGTTTTATAGAGCAGAAATCATGAGTAATCGTGAGTAAAGAGTCCAGGGTGGTGGGCTGTGTCGATGGTCAGTTCTTACGCAAGCTTCAGCACTCTGACTTATTAAGCTCCTGGTGGCATCCTGTCTGGGTCTTGAACAGGGGAGGTCTGTAAGACATCTTGGGGTTGTGAGTCAGTGACATGATCTTAAGAGCAGAAAGAAAAGAACAGAGCTGTACATTTCATGCTTAACAGGTTATATTCTTCTGTTATCTTTTATTTAATTGATTTTAGAGCGATGAACGGAGAAAGAGAGAGAGAGAAACAGGGATGTGAGAAACATCGATTGGTTGCCTCCCGTACATGCCCTGACTGGGATCAGACTCAAAACCTAGGCATGTGTCCTGACCAGGAATTGAACCCGCAATCTTTCGGTTTATGGGATGACATTCCAACCAACTGAGCCTCCCAGCCAGGGCCCTTCTCTGTTATCTTAAGCAGACATATATACATTTTGCAACTTGCTTTACAGGCAGGCTACAGGCCCTAGGACATGAATACATTCCAGTGCAGCTATGACTCTTAAGAAGAGCTGATTTCATAACTAACTAAAGCTACATTCTAATATATCTAATCTGCTATGATTTGGCCCAGACAATTCTCTGTCGTGGGGCTGTCCTGTGCACTGCAGATGTTTAGCAGAATCCCTGGCTCTGCCCACTTGATGCCAGTAGCACCCTCACCCCCAGTGTAACAATCTAAATGTCCCCAGACATTCCCAAATGTCCCCTAGAGACAAAGTCACCTCCAGCTGAGAACCACTGTTCTAGATGTAATACCTACCGTCCAAACCTGAGCAGGCTGTGTTTCCTGGACCAATAGAGAGCAATCTCTGTATTCCTTTTAAACTCTCTGTTCCCTTTACCTTAATTTTCCTCCTAGGTGCTCTGCTCAGAAACACTAAACAACATAGTAAGCACATGAAGCCTGGAAACTGTGTACCTGGTCCCGATTGCCCTTTCTGCCTCTAGTCGTATATTTACCCAGGGGCTCAGGGGTGTTGTGTCAGTGTAGGACAGTGCCGTGCTCTTCAGTGAGTCAAAACAACAGAATCAAAGCATTCACAAGCCAAAAGGAAGTTAGGGCCCACCTGTGTCAGAATCACCTGGGGAGTTCATTAAAATACCCCAGCACTGGGCCTGGGAATCCGCATTTTAACAGCACTTAACGTTTGAGAATTCATTTCGATTTGGGTGTGTAGAGTCTCCAATTCTGACTACATATAAGAACCACCTAAAGAGCTTTCTTTTTTAATCCGATTTTTAGCCTGGCCCCGGCAGAGTCTGACTCAGAAAGCAGAGCCTAGAAGTCTGCACAGTTGCATCGTGCTGGTGATGCTAATTCCCAGGAGGTTTGGGAGCCGCCGTTGGCTCCCATCTTCCTTTACAGACAGACAGGCTGACGGCAGAGGCGTGACATGGCCCATCACCGAGTCTCCCATCTCCAGCCTAGTGATCATATTTTAAATATGTAATGAAGAGCCTTAAAAAAATAAACTTAATGGAGCTTTTTCTCACTCTCCCAGTCTGTGGAGATGAGGTGTTCTTTCAGAGCCCGCACTGGAGTTCAGCAGTTTATTGGTGATACGTGTTAGTCAAGACATAGAAACACAAGTTCCCATTCATTGCATTCTGAGTTTTCTTTTGTTTTGGTTGCAGTGGTTGAAAAGTATGATTATGTGTTTCCAGAAAATGGCTTGGTGGCGTACAAAGATGGGAAATTCTTGTGTAAACAGGTGGGTTCTTGAGTATCCAACTGCTGAACCGCTGTCTACTACTAGTGAAATGTTTTCCAAAAAGGTATTTGACACGGCCACCTCTGGGGATGAGGGACAGGGTGGGAATGAATCTTCGCCCTGTATATTTTTACATTTGGAATGTTGAATCATGGAACTGTTACATATTCCAAATTGTTATCTATATTTTTAGAATTGTTTTTTTTATTTTATTGATTTTTTACAGAGAGGAAGGGAGAGGGATAGAGAGCTAGAAACATCGATGAGAGAGAAACATCGATCAGCTGCCTCTTGCACACTCCCCACTGGGGAAGTGCCCGCAACCAAGGTACATGCCCTTGACCGGAATCGAACCTGGGACCCTTGAGTCCGCAGGCCGATGCTCTATCCACTGAGCCAAACCGGTTAGGGCTTAGAATTGTTTTTTAAGGACACTTAATCTAATATTTCTGTTGTGATAGCAGAGGCTGGGTCAAACGGCGTCACTACAAGCGTATTAAGAAGTACTGTATACTTAATACTCTTGTCAGTATTAAGATCATTCTGTTCAGCCCTAACCGGTTTGGCTCAGTGGATAGAGCATCGGCCTGTGGACTCAAGGGTCCCGGGTTCGATTCCGGTCAAGGGCATGTACCTTGGTTGCGGGCACATCCCCAGTGGGGAGTGTGCAGGAGGCAGCTGATCGATGTTTCTCTCTCATTGATGTTTCTAACTCTCTATCCTTCTCCCTTCCTCTCTGTAAAATAAAATAAAATAAAATAAAATAAAATAAAATAAAATAAAATATATTAAAAAAAAGATCATTCTGTTCAAATACGATATCTGAGAAAGCCACAGTGGAACAAATATATTTTGTGTCAGTATTTTGATTGAATAAAAGCAGCACCAATAAACTCTGTGAGCCTTCCATGAAGCATTTGAAAGATAATGAATACAGAAATCTTGACTAAGGAAGCAAAACATGCTTTTGACTGAGCCCTTTCCGGTTTGCCTTAGGGCAGTGATGGCGAACCTTTTGAGCTCGGCGTGTCAGCATTTTGAAAAACCCTAACTTAACTCTGGTGCCCTGTCACATATAGAAATTTTTTGATATTTGCAACCATAGTAAAACAAAGACTTATATTTTTGATATTTATTTTATATATTTAAATGCCATTTAACAAAGAAAAATCAACCAAAAAAATGAGTTTGCGTGTCACCTCTGACAGCGTGTCATAGGTTCGCCATCACTGCCCTAGGGTCTCAACCCGAGAACAAAGGGAAGGAAGAGGAAAGGTGGTGAAGGCGTCATCCTCACTGCCACAGCAGCCGGGTGGCCCTGACTGACAGCGGCTGACGATCATTTTAAAAGTGCCTCCCACTGATCAGGTAACTCCAGTGTCTTCTTTATCGTAGAGTATCCAAGGTCACTTGGGTGAGGCCCTAATCCAAGACTTAATCAACTACTGTCTCAGCTACATTGCAAAAATTCAGCTCCCGAAGAAGAGGTGAGTTTGCTTTTCGCAGAGGCTGCCAGGAATGTGGAGGGACGGCATGGGGTGGGTTGGTGCTCTTTTAAGAATCCCTGAAACCCTTCTGTAAAGCCAGGGGTAGAAGAATGAGTATGCAAATAATGGCACGTCCACTTGATGGAAATTGAAAGAACATGCTTTCAGAGGCGACCAGGTAGGGGAAATGCCTGTGAGTCAGCAATGTGGAAAAGCAACATAAACCCCAGGCCGGGAAGTCTCAAACTGGAGGCCCGCAGAACAAAGCCCACACAGCCAAGTTTGCTTGGCCCACGGTTCAACCATACCTGAATTAGCTGCGAGCATCTAAAAGTCTGATTTCACATGTTGGAATGTCTGGATTTCAGGCTTTTGCTGCACCTGGAGACCCGACAACTGGATGCCCACATAGCAGCACTCCCCTGCTCCCGCCCCCAGTCTTTCACAGGCCACTTCTCCCATCTTTCTGACTTCTGCAGGCATTGGGTTTAGGGACCTACCTCTTGGATTCTGTTATCTCAATTCCCATTTTTATTTATTTTAACTTTTAAATATTTATTGTTTTCAGAGAGGAAGGGAGAGGGGGAGAGAGATAGAAACATCAATGATGAGAGAGAATCATTGATCAGCTGCCTCTGAGCACCCCACACGGGATCACACTCCCCACACTGGAGATCGAGCCGGCAACCGAGGCATGTGCCCTGACTGGGAATTGAACTGTGACCTTCTGGTTCATAGGTCGACGCTCAACCACTGAGCCACACCAGCTGGGCAAATAACAATCATGTACATACATGCCTACAGTTAAAATATTGACAGGAAATGGACACTTGTTCACAGCGGCTGTATCATGGTGGTGAAGGTACCGGTGATTTCTTTGAAAGACTTTTCATTTTCTTTTCTGTGTTCAGCACTTTATATGTGACACCTTAATGATCAGAGGGAGAAACATTTTTAAATGGCATTTAAACTTCAGAGCAATACTGCACTTTGGTTTCTCCTCACCTGAGGATATTTTTTCCATTGATTTTTAAAGAGAGTGGAAGGGAGGGGAGAGACAGAGGGAGAGAAACATCAATGGGAGAGAGACACATTGATTGGCTGCCTCCCGCACAGGCCTCCACCTGGGCTGGGGCTGAAGCCTGCAACCAAGGTACGTGCCCTTGACCGGAATTGAATCCGAGACCCTTCAGTCTGCAGGCCATTTCTCTATCCACTGAGCCAAACTGGCTCGGGCGGCAATGCTGCACTTTGAAGACTAGCAGAATTGATGGGACAGGTGCCCCTGCTCAGCACCTCCACTGAGAGAGAAGGGGCTTCCCTTTCCACAGGGGTCTCATAGGATGAGACGGGCTGGACCCAGCTTGCAGCTGGGTGAGGGCACATGGGCATCCATTATCTTGCTCTGTCTACTTTTGTGTATATTAGAAATTCTCCATAATAAAAAGTAAAACTGCATCTTACATCCCAGGCCAGCTCAGTCTTTCAGTTAAGCCTTAAGGAAGGATAAAAAAGGCAAGCAGAATCCTGTCCTGACAGGTGTCACCTCAGGAGGGAGATCCGTGTGCGGAGCAGCAGTTCTGAATTAGCGTGACATGGTTGCTGAATTCAAGAGGCAGAACTGAGATCCAGCTTGATCGGCCTTTGCCCACATTTCTCAGCAGTACTAGCTGTCGCAGTAAGACTTCGGTGCAGAGTTGAATGCTAGGCAAACCGCCTAAATCCTGATATTTAGGACAGAAGGCTTTCTAAGATGTATCGGCTTCCCTTCGTGCCATGGGAATGAGAGCAATACTGTCCCTGAGTTGGGGAAAATTAATTGAGCTCTTTTTCTGACAGTTTAGTACCCGCAGCCCTAGGGTCGCCCTGGGAATGGTCCCCAGTCCCCCGCTCCCCAGTGTACATGTGGAAGGTGTAGGGGACACAGCTGGTCTGCACCAACTCCGGGACCCCCGGGGGAGGGCAAGGGGGAGGGTTAAAGTGTCCCAGGTGCACTGCAAGGTAGGCACAGCCGGAAAAGGAGCTGGGGTCGCAGTGTACTGTGAGTACTCACTGCTTCCCAGTATGCAGATGACTTCTGCATAAACTGGAACATGTGGTTTTCACAAGACCCTTCAGAGGTAACCAGAGTGGGTGCCAGTAGCCCCTTTCTGAGGCTAGAGAGGGCCCAGAGTCACCCAGCCCAGTAAGAGGGGCCTTGGCCTTGCACAGGGTCCTCGCTCTGCATGCGGCCTGTGTCCTCAGCATTTACAGATGGTGCTGGCTGGACATCGGGGCTGTGGGGCGGGGATAGCAGAGGGTCCAGGGAGAAGGAGTCGGCCTCACAGGCGTCCCTGCTAGAACCGGAAGACACTTCAGAGAACACCGTCTGTAAACAAAACACTTCGGTCTCATTTGTCAGAATAAATAGCTTCCAGGTTACTTGAGTTTTTAAGAAACTCTTTTTGAAATTCAAACTGGAAACATGGTGGGGAAAAGTGCTTTTCTAAGAAACCCCTTCATTTGAGGTAACTTAAAAAGGGTCAGGCTGTTCTCATTTTCTGTCAGGTCAACCCGTCAGAAACAGCCTGCCAGTGGGTGACGAGTTTCCTCAGTTCCTGGGAGCTCGTGGGTGACCCTCAGAGCCTTTTCCTGGGCCACGTTGCTTGGTAAAGCAGTGACTTCAGGAGGTCCCTGGCCGAGTTGTCTGGGACATACATTTTCAAACTCCTCAGGGAACTTGGAGAGCTGGTCATCATTTGTATTGACTTTTAGACTCTCTGCCCAATGCCAGCCCTACTGAACAGAATAAAATGGGAGTTTAGGATTTCTGTAGCCACGTCAAAATAGAAAAAACAAAGGAACAGGTGAAATTAATTTGTGTTTCATTTAGTCCCATATATTCAAACTACACTTATTTTAACTAGAGAACATAAATCATTATTATTGATGATTACATTCCTTTTCTTACTAAACCTTTGAAATAGAATCTCAGTTCAGATGAGCGGAATTTCCAGGCTCATAGCCGCACGTGGCTTGTGGCTGCCAGGAGGCCCCGCCCAGCGGAGTTGGATCACACCAGCCTCTGCCTTTTGGAATCGCCCAGCTTTTCAGCCCGTCTCTCCATCTAGAACAGCCGTGGGCAAGCTACGGCCCACGGGCCGCACCCGGCCCGTTTGAAATGAATAAAACTAAAAAAAAAAAAGACCGTACCCTTTTATGTAATGATGTTTACTTTGAATTTATATTAGTTCACACAAACACTCCATCCATGCTTTTGTTCCGGCCCTGCGGTCCAGTTTAAGAACCCATTGTGGCCCTCGAGTCAAAAAGTTTGCCCACCCCTGCTCTAGAATGTTGCCCGAATGGGTAATGTATCTCTGTCCCCTTCCTCTCCAGGGGCACTTTCATCGAATTCCGGAACGGGATGTTAAATGTGTCTCCTATTGGACGAAACTGCAGCCAAGAGGAACGCATTGAATTCTACGAGCTTGATAAAGTGAGTGTTTCTGGAGCGTCCTGGGTCTGGGAAGGTAAGAGGTGCCACGTTCTGGCCACACTTACAGTGTGCAACACAGTAGACAGCCGGTGTCTTTTTGTTTTTCCCAGAAAGAAAACATACGACAGAAATTTGTAGCAGATCTGCAGAAAGAGTTTGCAGGAAAAGGCCTCACGTTTTCCATAGGTATTGTATGTTCAGGCTTTGCCGGGAGTGTGTGGTGGGCGGGTGCGTGCCTGAAGTTGGACTGTGCCGTCTGCAGGGGGGCAGGACTTCAGGAGCAGTCCATCCGTAGGAGAAACCCACCCCCTGTGTGATGGGCCGGGCAGAGACTTGCCCTGCTAGGTAATGGCCTCCAGCTGCTGGGCTGGGCTGGGCTCTAAGTTCTTACCCAGCAGGAGCCCTCCTCCCTGCATTTCTCCTCCTGGTCAGAAATAAGAGCCTCTTGCATATTAACGAAGAGAAAGAACTTCCCCTCACACCTTTGGGCAGCCAGGCACGTCAGTGAGCTCCACAGCAGAGAAGGGGTGGGAGCCTCTTCAGTGCATTAGACTGAATTAGACGTCAGCTCGGTTGGTTCTGTAAATGAAGAAACTGAGGCCCAGAAAGGAAAGGCTTTACTCACGACGATGGACCAGCACACGGCCGTTTCTGGTGGCTGATGCACTCCTTCCCACGCTCGTGTCTCAGGCTTGTTTTTTTGGTAGAATAAGCCTGTCAAATGCTCAGGCAAGCCGATCTCCCCCATCAGTGCCTATCTCCTGTCAGTGCCGATGAGTCATTACTCAAAGCCCTCTCATTTACTAGCGCTAATGAATGTGCGGGTTGTGGGGAGACGGACTGCAGGGGGAGTATGTGTAATAGATGAGTGGGTGGGCTTTTAAGCATTGCCGAACTGTGAGATGAACACTGTTCTGACACAGCTTTGAAAGGGTTTTTGTTGCGGTGAAAGCTGCCTGTAAATCCCCTCCCCTGTGATTTTCATTGTCCTGCAAGACAAGCTGGATGCAGCCGCGTCCAGGCGTTCTCCACGAGGAGCTGAGGAGCTGAGCGAGTGGGAGCTGGAGGGCAGCACCACTGAATGGGGCTCTTACCAGATCTCCCCCAGCATGCTTCACTCGCTGACAGAGCAGCTAAATGCAGTGCCCCCTCGCTCTGAGGGGTTCTCTGGGTCCCACTTTCAGGTTTTAGGTGGAATAATGTGGGAAAAACACATAAGGTGGAATGAACCTCTAGAACCTAGCCCTAAAGGAGTGTAAGCAGCAGGCTCGAGGATCCAGTCCATTGCACACTCCTTCCAGTGACACGTTGTTAGCCTCCCTTTCACCCTCAGCTTGTGTGTCCCCTCCCCACTTGGCAGGAGGCCAGATCAGCATCGATGTCTTTCCTCATGGATGGGACAAGAGGTACTGCCTGGGACACGTGGAAAAGGACGGCTATAAGACCATTTATTTCTTTGGAGACAAAACCATGCCAGTGAGTATGGAAGTGTTTTTGCGGTTTCATTGTTTGGTTTGGGCTTGAAGGGAGGAAATGGACAAATGGGCTTTTTCCCTTCACCCACACATTCCCCACCCGCCCAGCTCAAGCTGAGGGAAGCGTCTGTCCTCCGGAAGGGTGTGATTAGGGTGGTTAAAGCCCCCTCCCCTCCCTGCTCGTACACCTGACACCTCAGTGGAGGTAAGAATCCAGTGAGCCTACACTTTGGCTTTTGAATTAAATATTGCCCTCCTCCAGTGCCTTCCAGAACACCTGACCCAGGGCTGCTGTCAAATCCTCTTCACATTGCAGAGCCCTTGCCATTCTTTTTCCTCCGTATTTTGTTTCCATTCATTTAGTTCCAAATGATAGGAGACAAGGAGTCTCTTGAGTCTGGAATTTGGGGGGGAGGGGGGGGCCAGTCCTGAGCATCACACACAGGGTACAGGAGCCCCCACCCCCCAGGGGTGTCAGAACCCCCTAGTCCAGGACTAACTCTAAGCTGGAACTGGGAGCAGAGCCCGGTGTTGAAGGGCAGCGCCAGGAGGAGGAGTCCCTGGCGGGCATTTCCCTGGAGCCCTCTGGCAGCCGAGCAAGGCTCTCCTCAGGACAGGCGGGTGCCAGGACATTGTCACCGTGAGGCCCGAGGGAGGCTTAGCGCCAGGGGTTCCTGCCCAGTCTCAGGCTCAGCGTCTCCCTTTAAATTCCTCCCGCCCTCTGTGCCCTTCCGTGGTTACCTTGCCATCGGGCGTCCTGGGCTGTACTGCACTCAGCAGGTGCATCATAAATGCTGCATAGAGAGTTTTTTAGCCCTTCACTCTCTGGTCCCCTCCAGAATTCTTGCTTCCTTCAGCTAAGATCTATCCCAGGTGGCCTTGCCTTTCAACATAAAAGGCGCTTCTGGATACATAGTTTCGTGTCCTTTCTGAATTATGAAATGGAGATTCAGAAAGGGTAAGTAACTTGCCCGAGCTGGGAGCACCAGAACAAACTCCCTGCTCTTTCAAGAGTGTGCTTTCCCGTCAGCAAACCCTCTCCAGCGAGTGAGAAAGGTTCTAGTTCCCAAAGGAACGCTGTATCGGCCAGCCTTTTCCTACTGACAGAGAACCAGTTTCTAGTCACATCCCGCACCCAGCACTCCGGACGCAGCGGTGCTTTCAGTACCATTTTGGGAGAAGGTAGCTGATGCAGTGACCCCGAGGTCTCAGGAACGGCTAGGAGCTTCTTCAGTCCTCCCATGGGCGCCGTCTGCTGCAGGCTGAGGGCAGCTATCGGACAGGAGAGAACACCTTTCTGTGAGGAGGGGTTCTGTGCGCTCCAGGTCCCTCAGCTGGGACTTTGCACAATGCAGCCTAGTTCTTGAGCAAGTCAGAAAGTGACTTCCCTTGGGAATTCTTCATTTGTGAATTCGTTTCCTAGTCTTTTTAACCGCTACACTGTCACACATCAATTCTGTTTTTCTAAATCTTGCCTGCTTTTAAGAAATGGATACTATTTTTAATGTTTTTATTGATTTCAGAGAGAGGAAGGGAGAGGGAAAGATAGAAACATCAATGATAAGAGAGAATCATCATCAGCTGCCTCCTGCATGCCCCCTACAGGGGATCGAGCCCGCAGACCCGGGCGTGTGCCCTGACCAGGAATCGAACGGTGACCTCCTGGTTCATGGGTTGATGCTCAACCACTGAGCCACACAGGCCAGGGTAAAAATGGATATTATTCCATGGAGGGTCCCCCACCCTCATTCTTAAGTCATTTGCATTCATTGTAGAAAACGAGGAAAGTATGGAGAAGGAAGAATAAGTCACTTGTCGTCACAGCTGATGTGCCTCCCGGGCTTTCCTCTCTGCACAGACATGATCGCACATGTGGGACTCCTGCATGCTCATTGTTTACTTCCTGCTTTTGTTCTCAAACCATATTTTATTCCCCCCACGTTAGTGAGTCAGCTCTGCAAACAAGATGTTAGTGGCCATATAACATTCTGTCATGAGCGTAGTTCATTCACCCGTTTCCCTAGGAGAGGCGGCTTCTTGCTGTTGTAGCAAACACTGGTCAGCGCTCCCACATCATTCTTTGCCCTCAGCTCTGTTCCTCTTGTCAGTGGTTTCCTGGAAATGGGAGTGAACAGTCCAGCATCTCAGCCTTTTAACAACATGTCGATTCTTAAAACTTTAGGCACAGAGCTGTCAAATACTAGCTTTAAATGCTGTTCACATTCGGGGATAGACACTTTGAAAGCTGTTTTCTCTCTGTGTATCAAGGCAGATGTTTTTGCAGCTTCCAGGGAAGTGGCACCTGAGCTAAGAAGCCATTTCCCTGCCGAGCACCCCAGGCTCAGACCTGCTGTGAGTCCTCTCCCGAGACAGCCTCTGGGACCGACGCTGCACCAAGGGTGCCGCTGCTTTGAGCCCCTCCAGAGAGCAGAGTAAAGGAGGAGGCCTGGGCCTTGCTTTTCTGAGTACCTGTCAGCTATGAAACCCCTCACCCTTCCCACCAGTCACAGACCAGGATCTGAAAACCCAGCTCTAAGTTCCGCTTCCGGCCGGGGGAGACCTGGTTTGCCTCAGGAAGGAGATGGCCAGGCACGAAAGACGCGCCCCGAACTGCTCTGCCTGGCGTTCCAGGGCTGCAGCTCACCGGCACACACTGCGAAGCAGCCACATGCAGGCAGCACGCCCTCGAATTCCCCTTTCCTCCACGTGCCTTGGTGGGCCACCCAGCAGTGGTCCCAGGACACTGGGCACCTTCCAGCACTTACTGTCAGCTCAGCTCTTAGGACATCCTGGGCCTCTAGAGCCCGTAGCTTTTATTCCTTATTGAGGTGCTTGTACAGCCCCCGCAGTGACTGCCCCCTCAGCCAGGAGAAGCCCTGCTCCGCACTCTGAGGGCACAGCCCTCCGCTCTGTGCCCACGACAACCAGACGTTTGACAGATGCTAGTTAAACTGACCTGAGGTCGGCGTCCACGGGCAGCAGGAGTGTGACCTGCAGGCGACGGAGTCTGTCCGCCCGCAGGAGTGTCGCTTCCTCTTAACACGGTTTCCTCTTGGTCTCCAGTGTCAGGATAATCGGGGTTCACTTCTGCAACAGTGTGTGCAGAACTGGGGTGCGATGGGGACTGAGCCTGCTCAGCCCCTCCCCCGCTGTCTGAACCCTGCAGACACCGCCTTAGGCTTCACCGCCTGGCCGGGTGGGGATTTAAATATTCATGGGCGGTTTCTCTGAGCTAAGGCCTCTCCTTTGGGCCCGTCATTCACTCTAACAAGGTGATCGCTGCCGTTATTCATCCCTTTGCCCCTTCACTCCCTTTATCTTCTCTCAGGAACCGGTTTTGTTTGGATCCTGGAAGCTGAGCTTCCGCAGCCCGAGCCACTCTGTCTGAGGCCTCACTGCTCCAGAGGGGCCCTCGAAGCTCAGTGCTTTGGCTCTGCTGCTGCCTCCCTCCGACTCTGGTTTGCAAGCTCTGTGTAGCCACCGCGCTTCGCTGCCCTCTGAAAGCAAGCGGAGCTAAAAGGGACCCAGCAGCCCGGCCCAGCTGAGGGAGGTTTTGATTCTCTAGACCCGGCTTCCGTGGGTGAATTACACAGTAGCTCCCAGCCCCATCCCGGCAGGACCAGGGGAGACTCATGCAAATTAGGCATCTGCCAGGCACACATCTGTCCCCAAATGTGACATCCTCTCCAGGGAGGGGCAGGCACAGCTGTGAGCCCTCCTTCCTTCAGTGGCTCACGGTGCACCCTGGCTGGCGGCTGGGAGCCCCTGGCTCCACTCTGCTTCCGTCCTTACCCCGTTCCCCGAAAGACCCTGCTGTAGGCGAGCCTCATGTGGCCTGGAGTGCCGCTTTCTGGTGGCTTCACAGGTCTCAGGTCCTGACCATGGTCTTCAGACCCTCCGGGGCCTGGCCCTGCCGGCCCTTCCAGCTTCCAGCCCTGCCTGGCAGGTTCTGAGAGATGAGCTGCCTTCCCCGTAGGGAGCCGGTCACACGTTTGTCCCTTCCCTCCCTCCAGGCCTCTACTCAACTGCCCCTCCCTGGTCACTCCAGGTTCCCTTCGCCTCTGTTCTTTGCAGCTCCTTCCCATGTCCAGGAGCTGGGAGGCAGCCCTTGTGTCGTTTTGTGGGTTTGTTGTCACCCTGTATCTCCAGTTGCTGAAAACATCCAGGCAGGGAGCAGCTGGGTGAGAGGTGACTACTGACTGCCCCCTCCTGAGTCTGTGGCACTGGCTTCTTCTGGACGCTGCAGGAGTTTGTTTCCCCTTTGAACGTAGTCCTCTGTGGTGGTGTGTACCTGCCAGGCCATTTCTGAGAGAAATCTGGCTTTTCTAAAGTCAGAGGAATTACCAGAAGTGGTTCCACAGCTACTTGTTTAGGCAGCGGATACAGGGCCTCTGGGTGACCAGACGCCCCAGGCTCCCGGGCGCACTGGGAAAAGGCATTCATGGCGCAAGGTCAGGGACTCCTGACATGGCCCCTCCACCCAGCACACCTTGGGCCCGGCCGCGGCCCCTCCAGAAATCGTGAACTCACTTCCCCTGGGAAAGTGTCTGCTTGGGGCTGGTTAATCTTCAGGTGAGAGAGCAGGAGTGATTTCATGGGTCAGTCAGCCCTTTAAATGTCAGGTTTTCCGACAGACTCTTTATGAGAAAAACCCATGTTCTCAGCTGCTATTTTCGTTGTATGAAAACTAATTGATTTTTCTCAAGATTTGGAGTTAGATTGCTTATCGAGTTTTATGAGGAGAGCTGTCCCCCCACAGCGCTGGGCAGGATGCCCGATTCATTCACCTGAGACAGCAGGACTGGGACCCACAGTCACGGCGCCCCGCCCTCCTCCCCCGCAGCAGCGTGTCAGGTCCTCCCAGGTCCGGGCCCTCAATTCCGGAGTGTAGTGCCCCAGATAAAGCACTGTGAACACCCAGACAGCCGAACAGGGGCTGCTGCTGGTTCTGCCACCGAGATTGCTTTCCGGCGCCTTACCCAGATCCCATGGTCTCATCAGCTACCCCCCAGCGCTGCGGGAGATGCCACCACTCCCCACTTTCCAGGTGGGGAGTTGCCCAAAGAACCCCCCTCATCAGTGGTAGAACCAGGATCTAATCCAGGCCATGTGGCTCAGACAGCCACATGGGGCTGTTTCCAGTTAAATGAATCAAATTCTGTTCCTCTGTCCGCTAGCCATATGGCGAGTGCTCCATAGTCACGTGTGGCACATGGCTTCCGTCAGCTCGGAGACAGGCGTGTCCATCACAAGAAACCTGAGAGCAGGGGATCTGGCTGTGGCTGCCCCGCTCCTGTGGCTCGTTAGGCCCAGGTGCGGTGGGAACAGGTCGATGGCACTGAGCATCCTGTCACCTGCCGAGCCTGCTTGTTTATAGAATAAGCCTTCGGTCTTCACAAGAACACCACGAGCTCACCGGCATAATTACCGTTCCCGCTGAGTCACAGTTCAGGAGAAGGTGACACCCTTTCTCAGCGTGACTGTCTCTTAGTTTCCAGAGGAACGAGGTAACCGAGGAAACCCTCCCTGCCCGTCCAATGGCAGGTTCCTCCTTCCTCTGGTAGCCCTGGCCCCAGGCAATGGCTGTGTCTGCTTCGTGTCTCCGCAGGGTGGGAACGACCATGAGATCTTCACGGACCAGAGGACCATGGGCTACACCGTGACGGCCCCCGAGGACACGCGCAGGATCTGTGAAGAGCTCTTCTCCTAACGCCCCGTGGGAGGGCAGGAAGGCCCAGCTACAAGCCCGAGAGGGTCGCCCCATGGCCAACCCCAGGTCCCTCCCTCCCATGCCCATGGACATTTACAACCGTCCAGCCCAGGACAGACACGTAAAAACACTTCCTGAAATGAAGCACCTGCTAGTGCCGGCTTGGTAGGAGCCTTGAGACCAGGGCACTGTGGTCATCAGCGGTACTAAGCTAAGTGACCTCTGAACTCTTGTGTTCCCACCTCACTTCCTGTTTGAGAGCCACAGACCTCAGCGTGGCCTGTGGACGACTGGCCGGGCAAGTGACAGCTGACCCGACGGAGTTTGCACTCCGCTGGCCTGGTTCACAGGTTAGCTCAGATCCCCTATAGTGAGGGGCTGGGTTCTCTAACCATCGACTTGGGAGACAATTGTCCCAACAGCCCTTCCCCAGGGGCCGGCTCTGAGCCCAGGTTCAGAGAGACTAACGGGTGTCACCCTTCACCAAAGAACCTTCTGCCTCGCCTCCCAGGGGCCTGATTTGCCTGGTTTCTCAGGCATCAGGTGAAAGCCACGATAATTAACAGGGCAGAAGCTGCCCTGTTTCTCTGCAAACCTTTGAATAAATAAGCGCGGGACCCTGGCCCTCACCCTGATTCCAGCCTCGGGGCTGGGACAGCCTTGGTTGGGCCTGGGCCCTCACCCCCTACCTCCCAGGTTCTGCAGGTTTCTCATGGAACTGGAAGGCCCCTCCAGGCCCTGGTCCAGAACAGGGGGGAGATGGCTTGCCCAGGCAACGGTTAACGTCGATTCCCAGCCTCTGGAAATGTAGGGACCCACAGCCCTCCACAGATTGGTACAAGGGCCCAAGGCTAGCTTCAGTCCACAGCGTGACCTCTTCTGGGGCCCCACCAACCCGAATCCATGTGCTTTGCACCCCCCACCTTCCCACCCCCACCAGGTGCTTTCATCACAGAAGAGCCTGGCTTCCCCCCAGAGCTGTCCCCAGGCTTCTAGGCTCTGGACAGTCTGCCCCCCACCACACGGTTGATGTTTTTAGCGGTTCCCAGGACATGCCATCGGTGGCATCTTGTCGAAGTGTTTTGCAAATGTACTGTAATGACCTTTCAAGGTGATGAATAGCAAATTAAAGTGATTGTATTGTTTCCTATTTCTCTGATTATTTTTCATGTCAACCTGTTTGCTCTTCAGTCAGATGGGATACAGTCCCTACCACATAGGTAACTTAATTTCAGTAAAGCCCATTGAATGGTGGGTGTGAGCTATCACTAACTCAGGCAATCCCCCAGCAACCCGGTAAGCAGGACTTAGCCCGACTGTATAGATGAGGATGAGTGAAACCATCCCTCAGCCTCGCAGAGTTCGCAGGATAAAGACCATCACCAGAACCCTAAACGTGCTAAGTGTTGAGCAAGAGGGAAGCACTGAGGTTGCACCCTGAGCAGCCTGCAGCTGGTTAAGAAAGCAGGTCCTGTCCCTGCACCACAGCCGCGGCCGGGATTCAGCCCTGCACTCAGGTCGCTCGGGGAAAGGCCTATGTGCAGGGCGGGGGTGCAGGGCACAGCAGGTGGCTGCGGGAGTCAGGCCTCCAGGAAGGCCTTCTGAGCCTCCTGAGGAGCCTAAGCCTGACCCTGTGGGAGGAACTGGAGGCAGCGAGATGAGATCTGCCACAGCCTGGTGGGGAGCAGATGTGGATTCAGGAAGGGCAGGGCGTAGGTGGCTTTGAATCGCTTCCTTTCCAAGAACTGCTTCCTCTTCCTCTTCCCCCAAGAAGTGCTCCTTGATCTCAGCCCTGCAGGCACCTGGGCTGGGCCTCCAGGCCCCTCCACCTGTCTGCCCTCTGCAGCAGCCACTCAGGTTCTGGAGCTCATTCCACCCCCCACTTGCAGCTGGTTCCCAATATCACCTGCAGCTTTGTGCCAAGGCCTCCCTCATGCCACCTGGGTAACATCCTCTTAGTGTAACATGCCCACAATCTTCATGGTTTTGAGCTAAATGCCTACTTTGGCCTCTCCCTAAACAGGTTCAATGGGCTGGTCCTAATTTTTCCTAATACACTTTTTTTGTTTGTTTTTAGCGAGAGAGAAACATCAATTTGTTGTTCCACTTACTGATGCATTCATTGGTTGAGTATATGTGCCCTGACCCAGGATTGAACCCAAAACCTTGGTGTATCGGGATGACGCTCTCACCAACTGAGCCACGTGGCCAGGGCCTTTCCTAGTACACTCTGAAAAAAAATGTAGCCTTAAAATAAAAATGTTCACCTCTGCACCAACCAAGATCGTTATCCACCTCTCCTGAGAAAGACTGTCCCAGGGCGATCTTCCCAGCCTGACACACGTGAAGACCCTCCCGGAGCGGCCCTGCCTGTCGTCCAGCCCAGCCCCTCACCTCCTCCCGCCCTCCTGGAAGCCAAAAACTCGTTCTCACGGCTCAGCCTCACACAACCAAACTATAAACGCATCCACAGGGAATCTATCCACAAGTGACCAAGTAGCATTTTCTTGTTGTCACAAAGTCACGTTCTACTGCTAAGCTTCCTACATTGAGCCTGACAGTTCAGGGAAAAGGTATGATCCCATTTTCTGACTCAACCCCAAAACAACCAGCTGCGAAGCACAATGACTCAGCCTGGCGTGGGGAGCCGCCCTTACCCTCTGGCTGGGAGGACAGGACGAGCTTCCTCACAGCCAGCTCCTCGTTAACAAACAACACACAGCCGTGCACAAAACAACCTTTATTGACAGGAAGGTGGGAGGAAAGATTCGGATTTAGGAATCCCGGGTGCAGCTCCCATCTCAGTCACCAACACCCCAGTCCTCCAGAGCCCAGAGCAGGTTCTGTATGTTGGGACTGAGTGGGAGAGCGTCCCTTCCAGCTCTGGGGGCATCGTGTGGCTCTGGAATACCCATTGAAGAGCTGTTCACACAGGAAGGACTGCAGGAGCAATTTGCAAAGGATTCCACACACAGGTCACCTCCGAACAGCAGATCCGATCCCAACCCACTGGCAGGCGGGAGTCTGTGGGGTCACACAAAAGACGGGGCTCCTGGCAGAAGTGGCTCCAAAAGTGTGGTCTGTACCCGACAGGCAGCCTCCAGGGGCCACCTGGGCACACCCAAGGCTCACGGGGGAAAAGGCCACCTTGGACCCAGCAGAAGGCGAAGGCAGGAGGCAGAGAGCCGTGCGAGGGGCACGATGGGTCAGGAAAAGGCAGATGGAGTCACTAAGCGTGGTGTTTCACTGCACACACGTCATCACACACACTTTGTGTTAAAACAACTGCGCCAGCCAGCGGCCAAGCAGTTCCAGCCTCCCACCCCTCCGACGAGGCCGTCCCAGAACGCAGACAGCTGGGGGCCAGGACTGCTTCCCGCCCCCAAAGCCCCGTCTTCGGTCTTCTGTCTGGAACACCCTGTCTGCCCAAAGCCAGCTTTAAAGGGTTCACTTTCCACGCTGACAAATGGATTCCTGACTCCACATCAGCCACATATTTCAAACGCATTACCCAGCTAGTTCTACTTAAAAATCCCAACGACAGCCAAACCAAAGCACAGCAAATACAACCCTAGAGAAGATCTGTTTACTGGAACTAGCTACAAAGGCTCGCCATGTCGGCAGAAAGCGCAAACAGAGCTGGCTCCGGTGAGAGCGGCAGTTACTTAAAAAGAAAAACTCCTCACACTTCTTCAGGCCTGTTTTCAAGACAACCCCTTCGCTCAACGTGTATTTCTCCAGCGTCTGACTTTCCCAGGCTGTCAGAAAGCAAGCTACTTACTCTTTCCTGGAAGGATCGGGAGAAAGGCCTGTTTTAAAACAAACACCCTCCCCTCTACGCTCCCTCCTCCCTCCCCATCCGCCACCTAAACAACAGGGAGGGGATGTGCAATGGCTGCTGGGACCTAATCACTCAGCTTGAAGGCAGCTGGAGAGGACCAGGCTTCTAAGGGTGAGGATTCAGCTCTCAGCACGGCTTTCCCAGGTGGAGGGCTAAGGGCTCCTGGGAAAACTTTTCCCGACCCCCAGCTGTGACACCTCCTGCTGCAAAGGCACCTAAGACCCTCCCACCCCTGCCCCCTGAAGCCAGCTCCCCTGGAACCAACCAAGCCTAGAATCAAAAAGCCTGCTCTGCCCAGGGCCAGGGAGACACAAGAAGGGGGCGCTACGGTGGGAATTCATGCTGGGGAAACGCACGGGATCCAAGTATGTCACCACCCACGGAGTTCTGAGCCTCCCACCTCAGGGGGATGGGGATGAGGGACTCCGTGGGCTGGAGAAATACCACCTGACCCACCCCCTGGGCGAGGGCCGCACCCTCTACTCAGCCACCAGCCGGGGCCTCTCCTTGTTCAATGCTTTTAATACTTTTCAGATGGTGCGGTTGTTGTGATGGTCAGAGGCTATGCTGGTGGCCCAGGCACCCCGTGCCTGCCCCCGACCCCCTTCCACCAGGAGATACTTGAAAGGGACCCCGCTCCCCGCTCTGAAGCCGCATCTCGGGCAGGGGAATGTCATCTCCAGTCCGGTCCTGCCTCCTCCTCCCTGCGGACTCCCACAAGCCCAGGAGAAGGGGTGCTCCTGGCCTCTTCTAGGAGCTGACGACGTGGCCGGACCAGGTCTCATGCTTGGTGCCCGGCGCCAGGTGGGTGATGACCACCTCCACGGCCTGCAGCTTCTCGTGCTTGGGCGGGATGGAACACATCTTGTAGGTGACCTCGTCGCCTTCCACCGGCACGTACTCCCCTTCCACGCTGCGGGGTGGGGAGAAGCACTCAGCGCCCACACTCAGCCGAGCCCAGCCGAGCCGTGGGATGCCACGCCCAGGACACAGCCCCTGCCGGTCAGAGGGCCACCCTGGGCTTCTAGGGGAACTGCCCCTCCCGCCCTGCGCCCTGCCATCAGAGGGAGCCACCATGCCTCAGTGGTGCCACGCCGCCCCAGCCCCCCACGGCACCAGCCTCTCCCCTCTCCCTCCGTGCTGCTGCGGAGCCCGCACCCAATCAGCTGCTGCCCTGGGACCTCTGACGCTGAGACAGAGGAGCTCAGCCTGGAGGAGCTCACACTTTACGGTAAGCGTGGGCGACCCGGGGCCTCTTGGACAGAAGAGCAGGGGAGCCAGTCTGAACCAGAGAGAGAAACGAGGTGGCCCTACAGGAGATGAGTGATGCCTGGCAGGGTGATTCCCAGCCACCGGCCTCACGCCCACTGGTCCAGGAGTCCCAGAACCCAGGCTGCACCTGCTCTTCCACTCCCCAGAAATGGTGAGCCTTCCAGAAAGAACCTTTGTGCTTAAAGCCAGTTCAAGGAGGGTCCTCTCCCATGGGGCCATTCCCTGAAGATTCCCTCACTTTCTACGGAACGTGAGTCACCATCCCGCCCATGGGGGTGACATGCCTATCTTGCTGCCCCCTTGATGAGACCCCACAAATCCCCTCGAGGTCCTGAGCGCCAGGGCCAGCTCCCCCAGAACTGGTCTGCCTCGATTAAAGAATCACAGAGCAAATGGAGCTTCCCTCTTCGACCTGGCGACCAGGGAGCTCAGGATACAGGGGCAGCACTTGTCGCAGCAGCACCAGGCACCGCGGGCCCTCTGCTCTCTCACCTGCCCCCACCCCGTGTTCCTTACTAACGTATCTTTCCTGATGCCCTGAGCATATCCTTGTAAACCAGCGCAAGTCCTTTCTGGAAAGAGGCAGTGCACACCCACGTGTGCACTCACATACGTGATGCGATGCTTTACCGTCCTAGGTCTATCTACGCTGTACAGGGGCCCTACTTACTAGTAAGACCTGACGCGTGAGTAGTGGGAGGGGATAAAGAAAGGGTAATTCTCCCACCACGGCCGACATCTGCAATCGGTTCCTATTTTCAAAAACATGGTTTCTATATACAGGGTGAGGCAAAAGTAGGTTTATAACTCTTCCTGTGGAAAATGATTAATAAATAAACAATAATTAATAAATAATCATACAAGAGTAAACTGTGCTTTGCGCACTCACCACTGTAAGCCTACTCTGGCCCCAGCCTGTGCAGAACTCAACTTTCCCACAAACTGAAATGAAACATCAGGGGATGCTGAGGCCACAGGGTGGGGTGGGGTAAGGGTGCCAGGTGAGGTCCCCACATAGCTGAAGGCCGGAAGTGGGC